ACTGGTCATTCGGTTGTTTTGCTCAGCAAACCAGCTTTCATGCTTCTTGGTCTGTGCACGCAGTTCTTGCAGCTCAGAGGATTGTGCAAGCGAACTAGAAGTCATGTGCACGTCCTCTGTGCCCGTCTTCTCCAGCTGACTCTTGAGGTCGTGGATCTCTTGCTGCATCTGGGACATCCTGGAGCGGGCCTCTTGTGAGGGGCGTTGCTGGTTCTGTGTGAAGACCACTTCCTCAGACTTGTGCGAAGTCGGTTTGAAATTCTGCCAAGGATCACCGCCTGAGACCCAACTGTCTTCAGCTTCACCAGCTTTGGAGGATAGAGCTTTGTTGCTTTGGACACCCTTCATGCGAGCCTGCGTCTTTGCAGAAGCAAAGACCACTTTCTTCTGCTCCGTCTCATTGCTATTCTGCGATCTCAAGGTAACTGTGACCTCGCCCTGATCTGTGGGTAGGATCGGAGCAGGGGGAGGTTGCTCTGAACCTACTTGCCAATACTTGCCAACCTGAGTGGATCTGAGAGGTCTGATGAGCTTGGCCAACCATTTCCATGCTGAGAGCAGAAGCACAATGTCCTCCCTGGTCATGCCAAAGGGCAGTGGTCCAACTTCGAAAGTGAGGGTAACTTTGCATGCAACTTGCTTGGAGTCAGGATAAAGCTGCTTGAGGACCATACTTTCATCTTTGACGTTGATGCGGAGGCCCAATTTGCAAGCCATCCTAGCCAATCCCAACACCACATCAATGTTTCGCTTTTTCTTGTGCGCTTCGTCAAGACTGGTGTTCTTCGGAAGCCAAACGACCTTGTAAGCAGGATGAGATCCTTGCGAAACATTGGAGCGGGGCTCAAAGAAAAGGCCATGCCAACCACTGATCTTGAGGAGAGAATCAAGCCCAGAAGAAGGAACCCTGAGGTACACTCCAAACATGTCCGCAATGGCAATCTTCACCTGCTTTCCCTCGTTTGTGCTCCATCTCCAGGACCAAGCATCCAAAATGACTGTATTGACAGCTTCATCAACTGCTGCATGAAACTTGGAACAGTTCTTCATGCAGTCCGTGCCATCACAGTATTGAAGCTGAGGAGTCCTGGCCACGAGGAACTTGAGCGGGCCTTGCTTGAGCTCATCCCAATCCCAATCACACATATCTTTGTGCACACTTAGTCTGAGGACTGTAGCGTCGAGCTGTGGAACCTCTGGTGCACTCTCATGCTTTTTCCGTTCAACTGTAAGATCCCCAAGCTGTACTAGTGAACCAGAAACCAAAATCGGCTCCGAAGTGAGTTTGTAGACAGCAGGCCATTGAACAGCTGTCACCCGATCCGAAGTATCAGCAGGAAGCTCTCCAATGGTCACTACCGCCAAGGAGTCCACACTGAGGTTGGTGGAGTCTGATCGAAGGTCCTTAGCCATTTCCTGTGTCACGATTGCCACTCCTTTGGCGTCGCTGACCAGCTCTTGGATGGTGAGCACAGGACAGTCATCTCCAGCTGGATCAACAAAGCTGCCTGGAATGAGTTCCATGTCATCAACCTCAAGAGACAAGGTTGGAGGAATTTTCTTGGGCTTTTTCTGGTTGGCGACCTTTCCATCAGCCCCTCTTTTGGTTGCAGCACGACTCTGAATGTGAGCTTGAAGCTCAGAATACTGCACAAATTGAAACGGCTTGGACAAGAGAGACCCTGCTTCCTTTAATGCCTTCCACGGGTCTTTGGCAGCTAAAGCCTTCTCCACGACAGGCAAAGTGAGCTTGCGAATGGCAGCTTGCGCACGTGACTGTAACTGATCGGCTGGTACACCCTTGGAATGAAGGATGTCAGCAAGCATGGTAATTGCTGCTTCGTCTTTGCCCCGCCCTTGCCGTTGCTGCTTGGACAAAAGCATCTGATGCCACAACTCAGCTGTAGCTTCATCGGCTTGTTGCCAGAGATTGAGAATTACACCGAGGTTGAGTAGTGCAACTGCTCCACAGTGAGAACCATGTGTTTGAGACACACAGTGTTCAGCCTTGACAATGGTGTTGGGAGTACCTGCAGCTCTTGCAAAGCGTGCCGCCAAAATGTCAGCATCAGCCGGAAGCTCAGCTTGGAACCCATCAAAGAAGCGGGCAACTGTGGTATCCGCTTCAACGGAAATGTGGAAAACAATCCAGTGTCCATCAATCCAAAGGAAACCAAAGTTCTGCTCATGGATGAGGTACTTCTTGATGTCGTCACTGGCAGTGGCTGGCCACATCTCCAACAAACTGGTTATATGCCTCGGGCTCCAGAGTTGAGTATCAGCAAGTCCAGACTTCTGCATCAATCTCCTGGCTTGCTGCAACATTGTAAGGTCATCGAGTCCCTGTCTTTGGAAACAACAAGGAACGCCTTGCTTCTCTAAATCAAACTGCTTCCCACATCCCACCAGAGGGGGATGAAAGTGAATGCTGGCTGTCCGAAGCAATGCATCATTTGCTAAGAGGCGATCTTGTTCCCAAGCAAAAAATGCCTGAACATCAATGCCCATGGCGCAGCAAGCACGTCGAAGTTGGCCAACAGTGCAGGGCGTGTCAATGGCAACCTGAAAGCTTGGCTCCTGATCCACGTTGACAGTGATACTTCGCTTTTTGTACATGCCAACAATGGGCCACCGCTCAGCATGTGACAAGTTGTGGAAGTTCAAAAACTCAGAGACCATGCCACGCTGATCGAAATCCGGTGCGTCAGTAACCTGCCTCAAAAAGCTGAGCATCCACATTGATTGCAGTGGCGCGGCCACTTGCCCAATGAGGGGGAGATCATCTCTCACTGCAGCACTATGCACAAAGGTACCAGGAATGGTGACCAACCAAGAGGCCTCTTTGGGGTGCAAATGACGTAGTCGATGCTGGTCATCCTGAGCTCGAACCAATACACCGTGCAATCCCTGTGAAGCAAGAAGCGCTTCTGACAGTGGACCCCTGCAGCCGCAAGAACAACTCCTGGCCTGGTGTCCCAAAGAATGCAGCAGTGTAGGTGCATGATGGTTGAGATCTAAGAGATTGCCATCCGTGCCGTGCTTACTGAAGAGATGAATCTCCTGGTCGTCCAAAGCTAAGGCATGCTCGTCCTGATCACTCCAACGTGGCCAAACCTTGAGCAAACCTGCTATCGATTGGTTGGCTTGAATGAAAGGAAGATCAACAAGCTGCGGAAGCGAAACATCAATCGGAATGAGGAGAGCCCACCATCGCTTTCTCCTACAAGGCCAGGCTTGCTCCAACTTCAGGACCACAGACGTCCAATGAAAGGAACGAATCTTGCAGTACTCATCGAGGAGACGAATGATGTCCGCATTCTTACCCGCGGCTGGGGTGCACTCTAGCAAGACCCAATCACTCTGCAGAATCCAAGTCACATCAAGTACCCTAAGAAAAACTGCAGCTCTTGCGTCACGAAAGGCTAGTTTGGATCCTATCGATGCAAAAGGTTGGCAAGGAAAACCTGCCACCGCTCCACAAAGATGCCCCTGAGTGCAATTTTGGATGGCAAGCCAAGTGGCCGAGTCACTGATGTCACCCAAAATTGGCGACGGGTGATTGTTCCGGGTCATGGCATCAACAGCCAACTGCTTGAAGTCCACTCCACAAATGGGATGGAACCCTGCAGCCACTGAACCCAAACTAGTTCCAGCTAAGCCTGAGCAAAGCTCAACATGAAATCGGGGGCTTTTCGAAAAGCTTGAAAGACAAAAATAACTCGAGCGATCAGCGGCAACACAATGAGCCACTCCGGCCTTAGTAACCTTAGTGAGAATCCAGGCATGGATAGAAAGCACAACACCCACATGCGCCGTCAGATCCAGAACAACTCGCTGCTTCGAGGCGAGATTGATCCACCTGCCATGCTCATCCATGGTCACAACCAAAGTGACGCTGCTGCCTTCATGCTCCGGCAGCAGCGTCCCCCAAACCAGAGGATTCAAAACGGGTTCCACCATCCGCCCGACTTCCGCCGTCTAAGTCTACCCCTGTAAGGACTCGGGCCGAGACTCCTCAATATGTATGTAAACATGCCACCACATCGAGTTTTTGGGAATGTATCATCCGACCGGGAAACTGAAGTTGTGTGTTTCATGGTGTTTCTTTTTACTGGAGCTTGTGTTGGGGGCGTGGGTTGTGGTTGATGTTGCAGGGCTTGATATGTCGTGCTGGCACGTGAACACCCAATTCCAACCAGCAGTCACAAAGAGGTGCCTATTGGAGGATAGGGGTGCCCATTATCCACTCGCTTAAGGACTAAAAGCCAACCCCTTTGTGACTCCTGGAAGTTCTTTCTTTAAACATGTGGTCTTCTGCTGCGGCGCGGCGGGGTTAGAAGGACCACGAGGATCAATGGATCAACTAAAACAGTCGTCTTATGGACTTCATTAGATGCCTCACAGGTGAAGCTATCTCAAAACATCTCAAAAAGCAAGGTGAAAGCATCACGGGTTCGAATGTAATTGAATGTATAGGAACATGTTTACAGGGGTCATTACCCATACACTCCATGGGACTGCCATATATGCCTACATTGGCACCCCAAACACCCCAATGTAGGCATATATATATATATGGCAGTCCCATGGAGTGTATGGCTTAAGGTTCATGTTCGTGTTGTTTTCGGGCAACGCCGAACGCAACCACATCCACTAAGTACAACGACTATGAAAGCAACACTCACAATGAGATGGTTGGTTTGGCACGCCTATCAGGTCACGCCGGGGAAATTTATCCGCACAAGTTCACAACAAACTCCGTACAGCTGACTAAGGCAGTTCAAGAACTCCCGGTGTGCTTGGTTCCATTTCACAAATCGTTCAGCTTGCCAATCCCGAGGATCCGCATACCTTCTCAGGAGGTACTTGGGCCTTCCTGACATAAATAGTCTCCAATCACCGTACCTGAGAAGCTACTTGGACGCCAATCGTTGCCACACCACCGATGTTGGTGTCCAACCTGCACCGACCGACTCGTGGAAACACGAGTCTGTGGCGAGGCTGTGCAGTGTGCTCGGCCGCAAGGCGCGCGTGTGGCGGCAGCACCTTGGGCGCGAACGGCGCGGCGAACGGCGGTCGGACTGTGCCGCCGGTCGTGTGGAACGACGAGGCCGGTATAGGTGATAGCCCAGACAGTCGGGGAGGTATACGTGAGCCAGAGAACAAGCACTAAAGAGCTCCGGAACAGGTGGAGAAACGATGCTTTATCTGCCCTGCACTTAACAAAGTCAAAAAATCACTTCCCTTATTTTTGACATGTTTAAATCTCCCTATGAGTTGGGGAGAAGGCTGGGATGTCTGGCTTGAACTCCCCAAACATAGGGCACCCCGTGAAGTCACAGCTTTCTCTCTTTAGGACCCGTTGTGATTCGGTAGGGCATGGAACAAGCATGTGCTCTTTAGTACCATCCGTACAAACTTACAGCAGCAGTGCTGTTATTGAATCTCTGTCTACACATTCAAGCAAGGATATGATTCTCTAGAACATGTGGAAAGTCAAGTCTCTGACCACTGTTTGGACTTTCGGCGGATGATATGTTCTTTTCTTGCTGGTCACCCTGATTGAAACTATTTATTTTCAAAATGCAGCTGCACTTAAGGAAATCAGTGCAGTAAGGGGAGGGCATGCCATACCCCCCCCTTAGGGAGGTCGGTAGCGCTACCGACCTCAGTAAGCCCATGGCTCTCAATCAATGGGGCATGGTTTTTGCATTGATTTAAGCATCCCTGAATTATTTTCACCTGCACTTAAGGGAATCACATGGAGGCTTACTGCAGTCGGTAGCGCTACCGACTGCACTAAGGGGAGGGCATACCAAGCCCTGTCACTACTGAGGTGATTTCCTTAAGTGCAGGTATGAAACTTTTGAATAGGTGAATTATTTTCAATTCTAAGTTCGAATTGGGGGAGATGGTCCACTATCAAAGGAGAGAGTAGGAGAGAGAGGGGCGTGAAGCCTGGCTGCCTGACCGATTGTTCATTTAACAACCAGAAGTGAGCTTTACGGCTACAGGACCGTTTGGCTGCATGACAGATCTCCGGTTTGGCTGCATGAGGGTCTCCTTTGCCCTTGTCCCATGGGCAGGTTAACCCACCTTTTCTATTCGGGCTTTAATGTTATTTACTATTGATTGATTTTATTGGATTCATCATTGAGTACTTCCGAGCTGCGGTCCCAGCAGCAATTATTTTTAAATGCAGGAATGAAATTTTGACATCGTTAAGTGCGCCCCAGTTATGACAGCTTTTCACGACCTGAGGCACTTTTGTTTGCAGCTCATGGCCTGTTTAGCGCCCATCTTCTGGCTTGGCGGCAAGCTTGGCGCTTGCCTTTGCGACTCGGTCAGGGACCAGAAAGGAAGGGTTTCTAGGGAGTTCCGTTCGATCGGGGTCCGGACGTCATAAGTTATAAGAATTCCATATATGGGACGTGGCATATGTACCCAACACTTGGGGTGGTTGACATGGGGTCAATGATAGGCATCATAGATGCACTTATATATATTTCAGTACCTTCCGGAGTGTTTGGCATTCAGAGTATTCCGGACGAAGCTGTTTCAGCTGGGAACGAGGTTTGGTTGATCTTTGGACGAAAAAGGAGGTTTGGCTATTTTGGTCGGAGCAGTCGAAAACAACATGTTAACGACCTTCGATGTCCTTCGGTGGTTGGTATACTTGGTATAGATGGCTGGCTCTGAAGAGACATGTCCCGGCACTTCTTCGCTACGCGTTTTTTTTATCGTTTTTTCGCTACACGGGTCCCGTCCTACCCAATGTGTATTTCAACACGTCAGTGCCGTCGATGAGATCGGGAGGACTCACTTCTCCACCGAATCCGATGTTTTTTGTTGTCCCTTTATTTTTGGGGTGGTCATAGTCATAGTCAAACAAGCCCTCCTCCACATGGCCAGGCCGAAACGACGCCAGAAATCACATTATGACCCTTGAAAAAAGACGATGTAGCGCACACGCCGGTGGCCCTCTCGTCCCGCTCTCAGTGGCCAAGGTCGAGTATTGCTCCTTGGGCGGTTGGGCTTGGGATTGGGGATGGACGAGATGGCGGATCTGGAAGTCTCCTGAGATCCCAGCAAACCTTACCCCCAAAATATGGACTTCCAGTCAGCAAAATGATGTAAGCGGAGCAAATGGTTTGAACGAAGAGCGGTTCTGCCCGGTTCGGAGTAAAGTGTGACCTCGTTGGGCTGGTTCTAAGCCTTGAAGGAGCCTTTCCACCAGGACGAGCAGTGACCCTAAGAAACAGATATCAAGATGTCTCAAGATGTCTCAAGGTCAGTCAATTAGAAGAGGTGAGCTGAAGGAATTTTGATTCAGACATTTCAGACACTGAATGGGACCTGGTCCTTGTTTCACTTGCATGTTCAGTGGTTTCAGAAGTATTTTATATAATTATGACTCACTGATGTTTTGAGAAGTCCTCCATGCTTGGAAGATCCGCCACTGGCGCCCATGCGCAGAAACGACGTCATCTTCGTCACCCCCAGAGAATCAGAGCGGGGCCAAACGGCGTGCCGTCCGCATGCGTCACCAGGGATCATCTTGTTTGGGTGCCCAATGGAGGTCCCATCAAGTGTTGGGGACATCCTGGGACCTTCGAAGTGACCAAACTTGAGATCTTGGAATGAGGTTACGACTGTCCGGTCACGAACTGAAGGTCCTGGTAGTGTTCTAAGTTGCTGGGCATTTTGATGAAGACTTCATTTTTGTGAGAAGATCCAAGGGGTCACTAAGATCATGGGAACGATTTGGTCATGTAGGCCCAGCATACTAGGGAATCCCGGTCACTTTGTTTGGAGTTTGATGCATGCTTTGGTTCCCCGACAACTTCCAGTGTTCGCCCCATTTAGGCCAACCAGTGTTTTCTAGGGAGCTAAGGAGGCCGGATACTCCAGGAGCCGCTTGGAGCTGCCGGAGTTTCTTAAGCACTTCTTAGGAAGCCTCACCTAGATATCACCTAGATCCTGAGGTTATTCTTGAAGGGCTGCTGTGGGCTGTGTGAGCTCTGCTGCGGAAAGCTGCCGCCTCTTGCTGAAAGCCACACGCGGGCGTACACGCGGTACGCGTGGTTTCATCGTGAAGGGAGAGAGGTACCATGATGTACCGTGAATAGCGGAGGGTCGCAGTCCCTGGAATGATCATGGAAGTAGAACACCACCGGTTTGTAGAGGAATCAATGGTCATCCAAGGGGCCAATGTACACTTCCATGATATATAATTCCCAGGGAGTGTACTACTTTGCGACCAGCGGCCGCTGGGTCGAGCAATTCAGACCGAACATCCCGCCATATGCCGCCATTCACCAGTGCGGGATGTCACCACATGTGGGGCTGGCGAAGAGCTTTAGGAATCAGGATTCGGAGGAATTTGGGGTTGGTCCCCTTGAGCTTTATTGCCCTGTGTGTCTCACAATCTGACTGATTTCAGGGCACTTGTTTCAGTGCGGTCGAGTCGTACCATCCGGCATTGGAAGGCAAGGGGCTGGGGCTGGGGCATACCTGACCTCTTCCCTTCAACAAGTGCAGTTGTTTGCTCAGGGACGAAGAGGCGCCCGAAGAAGCGCCCGACGCGCCGATGCAGCAAACGATGAGCGAGGCCGGGCACAGCGTGTGGACGCACGGGCCCAGCTTGGCCACCGAAGGATGTCTCGTCTAGTTCTGCTCGTGCAGACGTGAGCACGTCATTCTTCGTGCGGCGCGGAGGGTCGTATGGAAGGCTCGTCCTGCTTCATAGAGAATGTTTATAAACAAGAGTGGCCTACAACAGAAGGGTTTTCCCATCCAGTCTTGCTTTTCCCCCCTCTTGCATGTGACGCAACACCTCAGCGGAACTGCCACGGAGGGTCTTGATGTAGTGGCAACCCCATCCTTGCCATGTTAATACTCAGACATACTCAGACGTTCATGTATGGAATATATATATATGCGCATACATTGACCTCTGAAACCACCCAAATGTAGCATAGGCAAATAGGTCGGACATGGAGGGTCTTTGATATATAGTGGCGGTGAATTTATCGTACGTGTTTCATGATTGGTGGGATCAGATTATCCGCGGAGGTTGTTAGTGGGATGGCACGGGCCTGGACCCTGCTGATGTTCTATGGGACTTCTGACTTTTGCGCTGGAAGGAGTTGCAGATGACATCCCAATGGCTTTCCCCCCAGCTTGGGTGGTGACTATTTTTGAATTGGATGGTAGCACCAGACCAACCACAGGTTTGGGTGCCTTTGTTCGCCTCGGGTGCCTAGGGTGGTCGGCGAGCTTCTACCGACAAGAGTGGTCGCAGAGGCTCTACCGGGCGAAGAGGCTCTTCCGAGACTGGCAGTCGAAGAGGCTCTTTTGGCACTGGCCGAAGGGGCTCCACCGAGACTGGCAGTCGAAGAGGCTCCACCGGCACTGGCCGAAGGGGCTCTACCGGCACTGGCAGAAGAGGCTCCACTGAGACTGGCCGGAGAGGCTCCAGGGATTCTGGCCAAAGAGGCTCCAAAGACTCTGGCCCAAAAGATTCCAAGGAATCGGGGCACAGAGCATCTCCAGGTAGCTTGGATTTGATGAAGGGTGCTCTTGGAACGGGTAGTGACGGTGCGCTTGGGGTCATCAAATGCTGGCAAAAGTAGGTCGGCGTCCATCAGAGGAACCCTGGAACCTACATGAGCATGGCATGCTTATCAACCAGAGTCAGGTCGGCCATACTAGCATTCATTTTATTTGTGCACATGCCCATGCATACCCGCACATCAGCAAGGGCGGGGTACCCCGGACATCTCCCGTGTGAGTGATCCTGTTTGACCTGAGTGACCTGTGAAGAAAGACTATAGTGACATCTAGTGACTATAGTGACTGCCATGGAGTGCGGCCATGCGACTACTTTCATGTCACCAGTGGCCGGCCGGCTCCGCAGAACGGAGCCCCCGAGGGGGTGTCCAGCGAGGAGAACCTCCGAATCGAGAACCTCCTATCTATATACGTTTGGGCTCCTGGCCCACCTTCTGAGAAGATGGGCCAGGGGTGGGTGGATTTGGGGGGTTGAAGACCACCGGTCACCTGAGGAGATGGGACAGGAGCCCTAGGAATACATCAGTATATCCCGCGCTTTGGTTTCTCGGGACATGTGTTTGTCCTGGTGTTTTGCCATATTGCGTGGGGGGCGTGAGTGCTACTTCCATTTTGATGCAGTCTTTTCGCACAAGGGGATGTTGGTGATCAACATTCTCACTTGAAGGTCGATATGCCAAGATACACGAAGGGTCGATATGCCCAACGGGGATATATCAATGCAGACGAAGATGGCAAATCACATCCAAAGTTTTGAGATATTCAATCCTGAAGGGCATTGGAGAGGACAAGAGTTCCTTCAGATCTGGAAGCTGAACATAGCTTCGTGGCTCCTCCCTTGGTCACTGAATTTCACTGAATTTCACTCACTCACTCACTCACTCACTCGATGGATTCATCTCTTTTCCAACCCTAAGAATCTGGGCTCCTGCCACTTTACAGCAGATCGATCGCCTGCCGCGCAGCGACCCAGATGGGCGACGAAGCTCCACCCAAAGCAGCCACAGAGGCCGGGTGTGCGGATTTCGCACAGGCGGAGCAGGTCCCGGGCGCGGTATGAAGAATCCGTAGACCGTAGATCTCCCAGCAAAGCGACCCGGTTCGGTACGACGACCCGACGTGAAATGGCACCTATCTCAGTGTCTCCAATCACCTTCTGAGGTTCGGTACGACAGGATCCCTAGGGCAGAGAGAGAGAGAGAGAGATAAAGAAAAGAGACCTTCGCCTTCGGAGTCGTTCATCATCTATTCCATTCATCATCTATTTGACCCACCCCGGGGTGGTTCGGCTACAGGGCTACACGGGGTGGACGGCATCTCCATGAGTGAGCGGATGGGTTTCTCCCAGCTCAGCCTCCGTTTCGGCGCATGTTCATCACTGGGTGATGACCACCTCAGACACGTTGCGATCTAGCAAGTACTGTAAGAGGTCCTCACCAGACCCCTCACCAGACCGGAGGGGTGAGGGTGAAAAACGTTCCTTTTCAATATGTTTCAACCGTTTTCAGATCAAACAGAGATGCTGAGAAGGCACCACCAGAGACTAGAATCTCCACCTCTTCCGAACTGCAGGTGTTTTGCTTTGGGAACCCTGGGGTCGACCAGGGGGTGGGGGGGGCCCTTTGTAACACGGAAGGCTCTGACCTTGGCAGTGGTGGCAGTGGTGGGTACACCCTGGGGGAAGATGACGATTTGCACCGTGGTGGCAAGTCATGTGGAGAATCAGAAAGGGTGGGCCAGGGTGGGATCAGATCCCTGAGGAAGTGGCTGCACATGTTATCAAGGCGTTTTGTCGAACAGCCGTGGCTTTAGTGAATCAATGGTCACAGCAAACTCCTGTCAACCCTTTGTGGCCTTCTCCCTACCCAGGAGCGGAAGGTGGATCAATAACTCCAAACCGTTTTGAGGGATTGGGAGCACTCCACTTCCAAACGAAGTTATTTTTATCCAGGGAAACTGAGAGGGTCAGAACCGTTCTAATTTGTTTGACAGATTGTTGCGTTGATGAATCAAATGGCCCCCATCTCCAGAAGGACTGAAAACAGTGCTTTACATCATTGTCATTTTCTCATCATGTTCTATCTCCATCTGGAGGGGGGTCCATGGGAAACCTTGGAAAGCGGTGGACCAAGGAGTAGGGGATCCATCTTTCTCTCCCGAACCCGAGGTTGTACGACTGGACCCGACGTTTTGGCACCTACATGCCTCAGCGTCTCCAAGCACCTCCTGAGATCTTCTGAGGTTCGGTACGACAGGATCCCTATAGGGTCTAGGCAATGCAACGTTAACATAGGTTGGGGGTGTCCGATGACCTGAAACAGTTGGTAAACTGATCACTCTGTTAGAGGAAATTAGAGGAATCTTTGCAGCCTAACAATCATCATCCACTGTTGCAGGGAATAGGGATGAATAGGGTACACCATGTGATACACCCAAAACAATCGCCACCTGTTCCTTCGAAGTGGGTGTCCCACCACCTTAATTTAGACACATCTCTATAGCCATCCCTTTTGCGTTCCGCTCCCCCCCGCGGTGGACCCCGCCCCCGAGCCTCCCTCCGCCGATCCCAAACCGCGCCGCCGCCCACCCGCTGCCGCCAACCCGCCGAGTCCCGAGTCCCCGGCGTCTCGCTGCTCTCCCAGGATGGGCTTTCCATCGGAGGAGTCGGATTCGACGTTCCTCTTCTCCGAGGGCGGCGACTCGGTGTCCTCGGACGTCATGCACGAGGCGGGAGCCGAGCCGTGTCTCTGGTCGTCCCAGGTGCCGGATCGTTGAGCGAGAGCGAGAGGGAAGAAACCATGGTGTGCCTAGCTTGGATCCTTTTGAATCTTTTTGTCCAGCCATTGGAATTGGCAGTTGCAATGGTACTTGATCTTACATAACCATCGATGCACGCATGTGTTTGACAACATCATTTCTTTCAATTCCACTCCACGCATTGAAACGGCCAACATAAGCAAAAAGGAATACATTCCGGAATAGGCCTCCTCTTTTCGTGTTTCTTGTTCCAGGTTCATGAGGGACACAGTGTGAATCAACTCACTTCCTGCACACATACGTGCGTGCGTTTGGCGTTCAGGTGCAGAAGTTCAGAATGGAGCGGAAGCAGGCCTTGGGGGCAGAGTAGTGGAGGGAAGGTTTGCGTTTGCATCAGGAGTCGCTTTATCCATCAATGAGGTGCGGTTGCACAATTCAGGGCATCCTCCATGACTGATGCGAGGTTGAAATGGGGACGATCAGGGAGAGCCTGCCAATGGGGATGGAGCGGCTCCAATTATTGCAGAAGACTGATGTGTCACCCTGCCCATCATGCTGAGGCGTTCCCCTCTCAATCCACTATAACAATCTTGGAAGCGGGGCTTGGCCAACTCATTTGGCGCACCTGAAGTTGTGCGGCATCAAGACTGACCTTGTGTTGCACCGACCATCCAAACTGACTAGAGCCAAGTAGCAGAAGTTTCACAGGTGGCCTCACCGAGGGCTTGTTTTTTAACGGCTTTCGATTCGGCTCGATTGGCATCTCAACTTCCAAAAACGAAGTTGCCCTTCAGATGACTAGACTGGAAGGAAAATGAGAATGGACCTGTTCACCTATATGGGTCAGCCTATCAGCCTATGTTTGATCTTTGACGTCCAGTCCAAAGGTGCGATCCCCGACGACACCCTTGCGCTCCGCAGCACCTGGGCGTGTGTTTTGGGTTGCTGATGTTGCTGTTGGCATGGCCCAGCAGTGTCTGCGGCGCATGGCTCAGCATGACCCAGAGTTCCAAACCCAGAAGTTTGAGAGTCTGCGGCGCAGGTGGTTGTTCATGTTAGACGTGTTGTTGTTCTTATATTTCAATCCTCCATAATAATAGGCTTTCAATCCAACTGGGGGGTCATTCATCAAGAGTCGACCCACACTCAAATCACATAGAGCCGTGAGTTGCACATTCGAGGAGCAAACGGGGAACTTACAGTCATCCTTCGGGGTGATCGGCAAAAAGCGCAGAAAGACAAACAACACCCTACAAGTCAGTTTGACCTCATTTTACTGCATATGGTCATACAAAACCAATACTTAAGGAGGTAAAAGACCAGGTTTGGACCTGGGTCTTTGGACTTGTAGGGACATGTTCTGATAGCACAAAGAACCTGGAGCAAGCAGAAGGTTTTCGAGCAGTTTAGTTTGGCGGTGGCATTCTTGTTTCCCATGGTGAGGTTTGAACGGCTTGTTGTCCCCCAAGGCAGAAAGAGGCTCGTGGTCGGGGATGCTTCAAGCAATTCGGCAATCCCTTTTCCTGCCTCCCTCCTTTCCAGAAAAGGGAACGGTGTCCCTGATCGACAAGGGGAATGCAAACATCGGCAAGCCGGCACAGAGTGAGAGTCCTTCATCTATATGTCTATAGCTGTGCGTTCCCCCCTCAATCCACTGCGGGATGTGTGGTGGTGGTGTTTCTCCACGTCCGACCATGGCCGACCACGGCTCGGTCCAGCACAGACGTCGACGCGCACGGACGCTGAGGGTTTGGCCTTCAAGAGCGAGGACGAGGTCTTCTCCTACCCCGTGGGGCGCCGCAAGAAGCCGCGCCGGGCTTCTTCCGACAGCCGGGCGGGTTCAGCCGCCGAGGCGTTCGTGGAAGTGGGCGGGGCGGAGAGGGTGGAGAGGTGATGTCTTTGAGCCCTGTTCAGCTTATGTTCAGCCCTGTTCATTACATGGTTGCAAAGCAGATTTGTACGCCAGGTGATGACGAGTCAACGAGTTTAGAAGTGGCTTGAGTTTTTCAGGTGCACGTGTTTCATATACATGGGCCAGCTACAACCACCCTCTTGAGTAGTTCTTACCGTTCTGGGGTGAGGGATCTGTGGTTCGATGTTTCTTGGCTTTGCGCACGACAACAAGCATGACATGCACACAAAGCCTCCCCGCCCCCCCCCATGTTTGATCTCCCAGCCCCACGTGGGGGTGCTTTGCTTCGCTTCGCTTCGGGTCGTCGCCGGGTCAGGTGGAAGAAGCCTGGACGGAAGAGGTGCCCAAGAAGAAGCGGAGGAGGCGTCGTCCTGCGAACCAGAGGGATGCGATGTTTGGCCAGAGGGATGCGATGGATGTTGATATTCCTCCCCAAAAGAGGAAGACGGATGGAGAAGGAGAAGGAGAGGCTGAGAACTGAGCTTGGTGAACATGAGTTTGGATGTGGTTAGACTTTGGGTCCACCATACATCACTATAGATCCATGCAAGTTTTGCTTGCCCTTATATGACCCTTTGACATGCTTGGGCGGCGCCCTCTTGCAACCATTTGCACATGGCTGCAGCTGATGTAAATCGGCGGAGCGGCAGGAGAAGCCAGAAAGGAGGCACATGGGAGTGACAGGTGAAGTCTCATTTGTGAAGACCCCTGAGTGAAGCTTCCTTAGGCAGGTATTGTTGGGGAGTCTCGCCAATGACACAATCCATGAACCTTCGCCGATTCGCCACTTTTACCCAGGTCTTTCTGTTTCCAGAGATCTCGGGTGGAGCAGATCAAATCTGGGAGTCTGGGAGGTAAGTCGGCCCTATCATGGGAATCTCGCGTCTGACTTCTCTCCCCACTCCGCTTCCAATCACAGAGAGGCAACATCCAACCGCAACCTTTCGTGAGATCCATTGAGATCTGGTAGGTCTGGTCGTATTTTCGGGTTGCTGTTTTGTGGACCTGAAGTGTTGTGTTTTTCGTGATGTTTTCGTTCACGCAGAGCAATGTTGGGGGGCTTGGAGGTGCAGATTGAGCGCTTTTGAAGGAAGTAAGCGGGTTTTTGCTTGAGGTGATCTTGAGGTGATGTTTCAAAATTGTCCCTATGGATAATCATCCCCTTCTGGGGAATATCTGGGGAATATGTTTCCAGGTTCCTTAAGCAGATCCAAGTAAGCATTTGTCCCACTCAGTTGCTACTCTTCACGGATTGGCGTTTCAACATCGCCAAGGGGGTGCGTTCAATCTTTCAAATACCCCAGACACTCCATGTATGCCATATACTGGTTTCCCCCAAATTGAAAAATAAGCACTGGCCTTGGAACCCATCCATTGCTTTACTCTTTCATACTCTTCATCTTCTCACCTATTTTGCTAACTGACTGCTTCTTTTTCATGCTGTTTCTTTGATCTTAGAACGGGGTTGTTTGGAGGGAAGCGTTTGAACAGATGAGCCGACCTTCCGACCCCTCGGCCGTCCGAACCCCTCGGCCGTCCGACCTCGGCCCGTCAGGGCGCCGAGCCTCTGGAGGCCGCGAAGTCGAAGGGGCTTGGCGGAGCGCCGCGTAAGACGAAGTGGACCGATCGGTTCTCAAAGGGGAGGTATATTGTGCCAAGAGATGTACCCGTTTGACCTCCAGTCGTACCTTCGTTTCGGAGAAGGTGGGACTGGGGGCCCGGGTGCCAGCCACTCGGGTCCAGTCATACCGAACCTGAGGAAGTACGACTGGAGGTGTAGGGGTATTTGTTGTTTGTTTTGAGACCTTACGTTATAGAAGGCTGTTACCAGGCACACGGGAGTCGGACATGAAAAGGTATCATGTTCTAGTTTAACACATGGGACGGGCGTTTTTAGATGGGATGGGCTTTCTTCAGCTGTTCAACCTCTCTTGGTAGGTTGCCATGCCCACCTTCAACCCCTAAAAACGCTCCTGTTTGCCATACATGTGTCTCCATGAACTGTCATGGTAGTGTCGTGATGAACATTTGGTGTCATCCGGAAGCACGGGGGTTCAGGCGAGGCCGTTGCTTCGACATCCAGGCACTGCATTTTCCAGATGCTGTTGGACTCCAATAAGCTGTTGTTTGCTCATGTCCCACCTACTTGCACTCCGCACAAGACAAGGACCTACCGTTTCCCTTCCGTTGGGACCGACTACACCGTGGTGACAGTTCCCCACGTGACGCAGCCAACCGCCGGGTCCGCGGCCACCGGGTCCGCGCTTTCTTGGCGAGCGTGACGCGTCTGTGGCACGCCGCAGGAGGCGGGTTCTTTCGATCCTTGCTGGGCTCAAAGGAGGAATTGACGGTCGGAAGCCTCAGGATGGGGAGATGGAGGCCTCCAAGTGTCCAAGATGTTTCAGAGGAAGCTAGGGGCACTTCTTGGGTTTTTCACACCATTCGCAAAGAGAACACAGGTTGTGGCAACAGATTGGATTCATTGGTAGGCGTTACTTGCTTGAAGGCATCACCTGCGAAAGATCAAGAAAAGAACAAAAAGAACGATCCCGGAAGCTTTGCAGAATAGAGATTCCACAGATCAAGGGGACAAGCGCCAAGTAGATGCCTAGTTGTTCTAGGAGTCAATCCACTTCCGGTTCCAACTCCTAGGCCGCCCAGCTGTTTGATGCCCCCCACCGCTTCACCGTCCTGGACGATGGTGCAGGGCGTTTGTTGATAGCCTTTTTGTGGGGGTTTGGGGACTGTGGCGGCAGGTTGGGGTAGCCCAACTGACTGGGGAACCTGCAGGTCACCTGGAAGGGGGGGAGTGGGGATACCCCACTAAACAAGAACAGGAATGTTGACGTGGGGGTTGTTCATCAACAGTATACATTAAATGTCATTGTTTCCTATGTTTCCTTTCCATGGCTTCCATTCTCCAGCATCGATCTTCATGGCACATTCCGTCAGGTGCAGTACTGTTTCCACCGTCGCTGGCTGAAACGCGCGTTTTGCCACGCCAAAAGATGTGTTTCTTTCTGCTGTAACATGATGTTAGTGAGGTTCCCAGTTCGGACTCTGCTAGACTAACCTTCCAACAGAGGTTGAAGAACCCTATAGACTATATCCTATAGGTATATATATATACCCCCGTAGGGTCCTATTTTTACGGTCACTGGCTCCCTCTGTTGGTTAGGCATCAAATGGTTGCCCTCCAACTCCAACTTTGCACCCATTGTTCTCCAACTCACTCACCGCCGCGCCGCGTGTTCCACGCGGCGGGTGCCCACCCGTGCGGTTTGTCGCGCCGCAGGTGGTGAAAGAAATGTCGCTGAACTCCCAACAGTCCACGGGTTCCACACGCTCGCGCCGTCTCCTGGGTGCAGTCCACGGCTCGGGAGCTGTACGGTACAGGGATTGAAATCTGTCGGGATCTGTGGTGTTTGGGGTGGGTTTTGGGGTGGTGCTGGCTGTAAAGACGGTCGTGGTGTTCAGTCTCTGTGGCCGAATCTCATCGCATGCAGCGGCGCCAACTCCTTGCCCCTCGCGGTGAAAACGGGGGATTGGCGCCAACTCCCCACTCGAATTCTCACAGGTGGAAAGTGCGGTTGACTTGTGATCCTGCAGTGTTCCGAGTCAGTGGTCCAATGTTAGACTGCATGGCATGGTGTGTACGTAGAAAGTGCGGTTCACCGTGAAAACCTGGATGTTGACAAAACGGCTCGGGAGTGAGGTATGGACGCTATGGACATCGGTTTGGGGATCGGTCTGGGGAGCTGTGGGTGGTTTCCAGGTGCAGTTTTTGACTCACCTCCGCACATGCAGCAGTGTCACGCCCCAATGATTCGTAGAACTGAGCCAAGAGATTGTTGATAATTGTTTAGGACTTCAAAGATGACTTCTTGACAGATGGTTGCCACATAGTACTTGTTTAGTTTTTTGAGCACTTTATTTTTGCATTCTTGCTTTGGAAAAGGGGCTGCAGAATTAGCGTGCTACCATTCTGAGCGCAACCAATCAACAAGTTGACGATTCCACGATTTTACCAATGATTTGAAAATTAAGGCCCACCAACTACAGTAGCAGATGTCAAAACCTTGCATGTTATATCTCGCACCACTTGGTGGTTTCGACCTCCTGTCACCAACAGGGGATGGGTAACTGGCATGAAGAGTAGTAACAAGTGTTGGCAAGCTGGAGTGAGAAATTCAGTAATTAGCCTTTCCATGAACCATCGCCTCGGAACCTTTGACCCAAATTGGTTTCAGAGTCCCTTTAGAATCTTTTAGAATGGGTGTATGCTCTGAATAGCGCCGTGTTTGCATGTGTATGAGTACACAGCGGCACCAGGCAATTATATCATTTTGCGCGCTTACATATTTCATGGTGGGCAGAGGATTGCAAACCTTGTTGCTTTCCTGCATGTTTTTAACTTCAAACTGATTTAGATCCATTTCTTGCAGTTGGGATGGAGACAGAGCAAATCAAAAAACATTCAGTGCCTAGAACTAGTCTTGGACAGATTTTTGTTGTCCTTTGGCAGGCCATGCTCAAATAGATAAGGATCCAGCCGTTACGGGGTCCAGAAACTCCCCTGGTGATGATGAACACCCTACAAGGTGAAGTACATTGTCTCATGATGACTCGATGCCAAACTCTTGTACTTTGTTGGCATTGGGGTTTCTGTGTGATGTGTTCTTTTTGTATGTGTAGGCATGTGTAGGCATTCATCGGTCACTTAGGTTGTTCTGGGACAGTGAATGACATTATGTTCAAAACACTAAACTGGGGACTGGCTTCAGGTGGCAAGGGATTGCTGTCCCAGAAGCCTTTTTCATTCTGCTTTTCACTCGGGAGGAGGTCGGAACCTGAACACCCAGACTTGGTCTTCGGAAAAAACGAGTCTTCCAGTCTGGTCCATGCCAAGCCCGGTTCCATGTTCGTTTGGAGTGCTTCGCCCGCCTTTTTGCGTAACGAATGCACACGATGCTGCAGCTTGGAGTTCTTGATCCAGGCTGCAGCTTCGGTGTTCCTTCGTGAAAGCAGAAAGAATTGCCGAAAAGAAGTTGGGCAGAAACTGTTGCCTAAAGAGGGTATATATATATATAGGTCTATAATGGTCTATCCATGGCTACATATATATATATACAATATGCATTTGCTTAGGGCACAATGACCTACTGGTCATCCCTCAAACCAGTTGGTCCATCCCTCAAACCACGCGTCGACTCGTCTCGACTCGTCTCCAGAGTCTGCCACTCGACTCGTTTGGAGTCGGAGTCCAACCACCTGCGCGCCCAACGACCTTCGAGGTGGCAACTCTCCCGGGTCTCCCGGCCGGCGAAGTAGCTTGGGATCCTTGCGACTCGGCGTTTCGTGCCCCGCGCGAAACCGCGGAGTGGATGGACAAGTAGACCAGGGGGTGTCTATTGTTTCGCCCCTGAGCTGTTAAGGGGTGTCCATGAACCACCCCTTGGGGGTCCTAGTATATGTCCAGACGGGTTTGTTCAAGACAGTGGTGCGAAATGTATCACGTGCACTTTGATATTTTATGTTGCGGGCTTTTTTCAATAGCATTTTGTCTGGACCTTTGCGCGAAAAAGATGCGTCTTTTTCGCGCGTGGTTTTGTCGTTGTTACATAGACCACAGTGGAATTTTGACTTCAGAATTTGTTCCATTTTGTCAGAGGGTTCGTCGCGCGTTTCACTGTGCATAAGCAGGGGGGGGTTCGGGGGGGGGGTGGGCAAGATGTTTGCATGCGTGTTGTCTTGTGCACTCATGTGTATCTCAAGGGGGTTGGGCAATTTTCTTGCGCGCGCAATGTGTATCTCAAGGGCAAGACGTTGCTGTTGATGTGCACCAAAGAACACAAAGTGTGTGCACTCTTCGGGAGATTGGAGCCACAAAGCAAAGGTTGCAGGAGATGGGGAGATCCATGGCCGTGTGGAGCAAACGCGATGAAAAGCGGTGGGTGCAGCAAATCGCTGCACGAGGTTTCGTGAAGCAGAAGTCAACGGCTTGTCGTGGTGGGAAGTAGAAAACATATAAACACAATAAATTCATCTACAAAACTTAGGTATTAACATATTTTATAGCAACATGTTTATAACAACATATAAGTTCCATAAACCAAAACCATCCACCAAGTAAAACCGCGACGAATCTTCAAGACCATCCCCAAAACACATTGTCTTAAGTAAGCCCGTTCGAATCATGTTGATTCATGAACTATGTTGAGTCATATTTTTTCAGATGGATTGGACATAGAAAGAAGTAGAGCCATAATGGTTAGGGGGGACGCTTGACCAAATCAACCGTCAGCATCGAGGAGAGCTTGAGGGAGTTTTTTGCATACGACAAGATGAGGGGGATTGTTTTCTTTTGCATATGACGATGAGGGGTTGTACTGGATTGAGATCCAATTGCCAATGGCGTAAACCCCAAAAGGTTGTTTACGTGAACCGACTTCCAGGGGTGCCAGTGCCATCTACGGTGCAATCACTGTAAAAATACGCACTTGTGGCGCAAAGTCCCCGACATCTCGCGAACTCGTGAAAACCATTGACACGGCGAATGCCAAAACGGATTTCCGCAGTTCCATGTCGGGGTACTCAAGGGTTCCCAAAGGGTTCCCAATGTCTACTGCCCAAAACGTAGGGCCCAACCCCTTTGGAACTAGTGGTGCGACCTGCCTGTGAGTGGCATGACGAGATCACAACGGAACTCGCGCTTTCACTTTTAGTTTTCCGGTGTTCCAGTGGACGAACTCGCAGCTGAGGGGAACTCATAGCTCCAGCAGTGTCTTGGCAGAGAAACTGTGCCGAGCCCATGCCTATCCAGGAAAAGTGGATCATCGCCAGGATTGGGGAAAAAGGATGACTCTCGAATCCAGAGTGTTGGCAGTGGGTGATTTCTTCTTAGATTGCATGGATAGTGGAACAGGTGGAAAGTTTGGCTACAACAGTTTCAGAGGTCCGATGGCACCCCAAGATGTCTTAGACAGATGGTCCATGTATATATATATATATTTATATCATATACATATATATATATGTTATATAAACACAAAAAAGCAACACAGTTGGGGCATTGTGCCATCTACTCTCGGACAACTATGTGTAGATCATATATAGACTAAGCCTTTTTTTTCAAGGAAACGGCTTCGTTTGGCGTAAGGCCAAACGGGGTGATGCTGACCCGGTTCAAGGGACAAATCCGGTGAGAAATTGCGTGACTAGTGCTCAGACCACAGATTACACCCTGTAAGATTAACATGGAACCTGAAAACCACTCTGTTTGTAGAGGAACCCCTATTTTTCCGTGATTTTTCCAGTTTGTTTCCGGGTGCTTTTGCCTCTGCTTTTGCTTTTTGCTTCTGCTTTTGCTTTTGCTTCTGCTTTTGTTTTTTGCTTTTGGCCGTTGCTTATGCATTTGCTTTTTGCTTTTTGCTTTTGAATTTCTTTTCCTTTTGCTTTTTGCTTTTGCTCCTGCTTTTGCTTTTGCGTTTGCTTCTCCTGACTATCTTCTTCGCATTGACACTGCCACAAATTTGGATGATAAGACCTTCACCTTGAGCTTTGACACCCAATTGCACCAATCAAGAAACGAAGCAGCCCAGCGCTGTCTATATTTGATTTGCATTGCGGGGGAGGCGCTGCGCCCTCCCCCGCACCCGTCCCGCTATTTTTTTGTTTAAATAGTTGCCACTACCGTCCACCACCCCTACTATTTCCAATACCTCTATCACTCGGACCACCCCTTACCACAACTACTATTTTCTTTGCGTTGACGCTGCCACAAAGGTGGATTTCTACTTTGCTTAGCCGAAAGAAACCCGAAACCACTGAAACCCAAAGACAACCGCAGAAAAGTCCCTATTATAGTTCCTCTCTCCTCCTACTTCTCCTTCGTTAAGTGGGATGCCTTTTCCGAAAGAACGCCTAAAGAAACCCTATAATGACAAGAAGCCGAGCCCAAAGAAACCCGAAACCAGTGAAGCTAAAGACAACCGCAAAGCAGTCCCTAGTAAGTGGAATACCTTTTCTGTTCCCTCCCTTTGTCACTGTCACGCTGGCTTTGGTGCTTCTTCCCCTGCCCTTTCTGCTGCTCCTAGTGCTTGTAAAGCACTCCCAGCAGAAGCCAAAACAAAAACAGTAGGGGAAAAAACCTGAAAAAAAAAGAAAACATAAAAAATCTGAAACAAAATCCGGAAAAAATAATCTGTGGAAGATCATTTTCCCAAGGTCCATGCCAATGCCATCAGGTTCCATGTGGGTCTCTTCCCAGGTGTAGTCGTAAGTGGTAGCACCGACCTGGGAAACGCAGTGGTACCGCCGTGGTTGAGTGGCGGTCCTCCACGTCCCAGGTTCGCACCGGCGAAAGGACAGTAAAGGAAGCAAAGGCAGCAACTTGTCCAGAATTTCTTCTTGGATGGTAGGGCCTTTAGATCCAGTGGACCATGCCCTCCCTACTAAGAGGTGCCATAGTTATTTGGCACTCTCCATGGACCAAAGACATTGGATTGAACAAATCTGAATTCCGCCAACAGCCTGCCAGAGGGAAAACCTGAATTGCAAACGAGTGATTTGCTAAGGTAAAGGGAGCCGCACAAACAGCAAAAGCAGCAGGACACTTGGTGGCACCGCATGGGCTAGAATGAAGCCAGCAATGTAAGTATTAGACCGTATAAGGCTCAGATGAGCAACCAGATGGCGTCCGGAAGTGTTTGTAGACACGGAGCATGCGCGGGGCCACCGTGTCAACATCTCAAAGTCGCCGTGGTAGTTTGGTGTCAGTCCCTTTACTCAAAGAAGGATGCCAACAGTTGGGGTTTTCAATCTCTCAAGCTCTTTGTGAAGTCTTTTTCATTGCCAGCCTGTTGAACCTCCAGCACAGAGCAGCAGCTGGGGTTGTCGAGTCTACTGCATATTATGCAGCTGCGGAGGCTAGAGTCTAGGGCCAATTGAGAATCAATCCCTGAGACGTTGCCAAGTGGAAGTATTGGAGCACCTGACACCTGACTCCTTCTTTGTCCTAAAGTAAGCAGTTGAGATCCGACAAGTGCTTCCCAGGATCTTGGTACAAGTTCGGATGTTTTTCTCCAATCCATGGAAGGAGCCAAAGACCTTCGAGGTACATCATGGAACCTTCTTGGAACCGCGCCATCCTCCCCACCAGGCTGGCACAACTCGGCTCAGCTTCCCGGAGCTTCTTCCAACGACTGCTCAGCCGGCGGCGGAGCAGTGTCGAGGACTACCCGCTGCGACCTGGTGAGGGGCAGGGTTTTGAGATCCCTTCTTCCAACAAAAGCAAGGATGGAATCGACCAGCACCACCCAAAGGGTGGTTAACTTGATGAAACATAGATTGACATAGATAGTCAGGGCGGTCTATAAACCATCCTTTGGGGTGGTGCTGGTACAGATCTACAGTGATTTCAGTGGTTCAATGGCACCCATCTACTCTCAATCCACTATAAACTGAATTGGCTGTGGGCTTTGTTCCAACTGATGCTTGCGGTAAGAATATGAGCTATTGCGGGGAACTCCTGATTAGTTGCTGTGAGTCGTTCCTCTTAAAGGACGCCACCTCACGAGGTGCTCCGTTCAGCTGTGGATCCATGTGGGTGGCGTCGTGTAGCTGAGCAGCGAACACTGTAGCCCCACCAGTGCTGCCAGGAGCCCATGGGGAGCCTCAGCTGCATTCCCACAGCCCGTCTCCACTTCAATTTGTTCAATTGGGTTGGTTTCATCTCAAGGTGGATTGAATCATTGAACCCATGTGACCTCTAATGATGACTCTTTGGTTTCAATCCGCCCAGCGAAATACCTCAAAGTGGTTCACAAACAAGCTGACAGTCGATCCATAGCTCCTCGCCCGCCACCGCTCCACCCACATCCCCCGCCACGGTCTGTCGACCTCGTCCCTTCCGATCCGACCTCGTTGCATCACCAGCGCTCCGACCTCCGACCTCCGACCGGTCTCCGCGCCGAGGTACGACCCGAAGACCTACGATGCCGCGGCCTGGCGCGCGGCACAGGGGCGGAACACCTCCAGCCGCTGGGGAGCTGACTTTGGGACGTTCGGAGAGCGGTGACGGTGACGGTGGAAAGCACGGAGATGACTGCCAAGGAGGTGCCTTGAAAAATAGGTAGTAGGCATTATGGTGCGTTCGGTTCTTCCGGAAGCCTGTGAATGTAAGTTCTTGCTTGTGGATATTCTTTTTTCATTGGGGCTTGCGGCTTGTCATGCTAACCAATCCAATTCAAAAATGACTGTTCAGCCCAGGTCATGGCCGTTCAATTGATCTTGGCTTCCTTAGACTGGCCAACTGGGAACAATGGTTTTGCCAACGGACACCTGCATTGCCTTTTGATATTGGTTGGTTTGTTTATAGAGGTGCCCCAAGTGTGCAACCAATGGGCATATGGTACCAAGCGGACCCCTCTATGATTCCCAAAAGGACATCAAAGAAGCCATGGCCAAAAGGAAGAAATTGAAACTTCTTGAAACATTGTGAAACACCACCGGTTCTTCCATTTGGTTGTATGGGCTTAACCGGTTCGTCAAAAGAGCAGTTCCTATACGTTCCTGGCGGTCTCAATGCCATGGAGTAAACACTTCTTATGACTTCTTCCTTTCAGCTGTCAACCGTATACAGTGTACAGTGAAGCGCTAGATCAGCTAGATATTTTTTTGTGGCTGTGTTTTTTTCGCTCGGGACGCCCGCTGGCTGGGCTGAGTGACCTCAGTCTCATCCTGTCTCATCAATGCCTGGGCCCCCGAGAAAGGGGTGGTTTTCATGGGCACCCCGAATCACCTCTAAGGGGCTATACTTCTTGGACCGCTACCAAGGGCCCAGGTGGAGGCGACCAACTCCTGCGCCTGGCACAGCTGCTCCGTCCCAAGGCTTCAGCCCCATGCAAGTGCGGAACTTGCGCGCCCCCGACCTCTTGGCACCACCCATGCTGCACGAGATCTCCGATCTCGGGTCCACCACGGAAGGCGGATGGGCAGATGGAGGGGAGGGTTGGAGAGTCTATAGGGGTCTGATTCAAGGAACATCTGCAGCATTCTGTGGAGATGCCTTAGCCATCCTTAGCCTAAGTATAGTGGGTTGGGTAATCCAGCCAGCACATGGTATACATTTAGACACCCAGAAAGGATTCTGCTGTTTCACACAGTCCTGTTTGAATACGAAGCATGTTTACTTTGGGATGCTTTGGCTCTGACACGTTGCTTTTCCCGCGCTGTGCTTTTCGTCTGACGCGTTGCTGCTTTCCTCGGTTCTTCATGAAAGGTCGACCTCGATAGGTCGACTGAAGCCCTAGGGGTGGGAGCTTTCTTGGAACAAATTCAGGCCACATCGCCACTCCAATCATTCCATCACTCCACGGCCACTCCACGGCCCGACCGCTCACCCGTGCGCGGGCGACGTGTCCGCCAGTGGTCCGATCCTCCCCACCAGGCTGGGGCTGGAGCAAGGTCTCCTGGGGCGACCCGGCGAAACGACCGGCGTTCCGGCGTTCCGGGTCCGACGGGTTCCGTGCGGGTTCGCAGGCGGAGAAAAGGAGAGGGAAGAAGGTGGGGGCCTTGGCCATTTCTGGCCCCCTTTGAGCTGAGGGCTATAAAGAGAGGCTCCAGTCCCCAGCTTCTTGGAAGGTAGTAAGTGGATCCCTTTTGGGATAGAATGTCATTGGGAGATACACTATTCCGGACATCATCCTATTGTTACCATGGATGGCATGACTGAACGAGTTCGGACCATGAACTTCGAAGATGAAACAGGCGGTGAACTCCGCTTCCATGACCTAGGGGAGCGCACTTGCAGTCCTATGCGGCCATTTTCATGTCACGAAGTTATACTGTACTCCAACAAGCTTCGGCTGGCCAAGTTTCGATCATGGGCAGCCTATAGCTACATAATGCTACATATAAACATGCTCAGGGCAGAATCTAGTTTGTTGAGTGCCAGCTGGTATTGAGCAAGTTTGAACAGTGCCCTGGCCTTCCAAGAGGTTTTACATGAGAACAGCTTCGCCCGCCTTAACGGAAGCTAGGAAACAGAGGGTTTTGGAACAAAACGACGGATCACGAGCCTTGCTTTTCAGACCTCAATTGTACTGGCTCCTCACCTTTTTAGATGTGAGACATCTGGAGCTCTCCAAACAGAAGCTTTCTACCCCAGACAGTTCAAACTGATTGGATTTGATAACCCTTTTCGGAAGAGACGACATGTTCATGTGTTTGCGCTGTAGGTCCAGCTCACTGTTTCTCCCAGATCCCAGACAATCCACGTATTGAATAGTTACATAGTAACCGGCAGTGACCGGGATACATTTACCGATATAAAGCCCCAAAAGATCCCCACTCAAAATGTATTGGACACCGTGCCACTATTTATATAGGGACTATATACATTGACCCCTGAAACATCTTAAAAGCACCCCGATGTCGGCCAATCTTTCACATATATGCAGTGTTGGGGACACCACTCACTCACTCCTTTTGGCCACTCACCCCGGATCTTTGCCGGAGTCGCCCGCCCAGCGGTCGGTCTCCGCCGAGGTCAAGCGACGGACTCGCAGTCGCGGATGGTCACCAAGGACGCCAAAGACCTTCGTTCAGAGGATGTGCCCTGAGCCCTGACGGGCAGCACCGGCCGTTCTGAGGGCGAACTGCAGCACTGGGTGACCCATGGTGACCCAGTGAGGGTACACATTGCAGATGATTCTGGTTTGTTGTGCACGATAGGCACTTTGTGGGGACAGTAGGTGGTTGCTTTAGTTGGTCTCGTTTTTGAGGGGGTCGCTAATTCAGGGCATCAAGTGAGCATTGATCCAGTTGAGGCCCTCCTTAACCTGGGGAGCTTGTTTGGGGCCCTTAAAGATTGCACAGAAGGGGTTGTTTTGGATGCAGCTAGCCATTGCTCATTTGCGGGGGTGCAAGGCATGGACAAAGCCATGGCTGGCCGGAGGATGGAACGTGATAAATGCTTTCATGTGTGGCCGCGTGGCCATATTCGTAAGCTTCGTGTAGATAGGGTTCGCTTTTTTCAGGGTGCCCCGTTGAGGCAGCGAGGGGGCAAAGACGCAAGAGAGAGAGAGAGAGAGATATATATATATAGAGAGAGAAATATTTGTTTAAAGCTTCACGCAAAACTGGCAGAACCAGCCAGTAGAGCAAGCAGGGAGAACAGTAATTCCATTACTATAGTATCGCATTCTGATCCTTGGTTTACGGATAGGTAGCGCACATACATCGTAGAATGTTTGGGTCGGGTGCTGCTCAATGCAGTGATGCTCTCGATTTTGGGTGTCCCTACCGATCATATCGCCCAAGGCGACGTACGTAGGGCCCGTTTTGACGGACTTAGGCGGACCTTTCCCGTGGAAGGCAGCGGTTTTGAGAGACTGGCGTTGACTTTTGGTTACCTTTTGTGAATTTTGCACATTGCTCAACCTCACCTTGCAATCAACGAGACCCACAATTTGGCTCATGTGAAACACACCAAATCTGCACTTGCACAAATAAAGGGTGCATTTGTAATAACTCTTTTGGCTTTCCTGGAGTATGCTAGCATGGAGTAGCAGTCTCTAGGACTAGGATAGCGCTCCAAGGAGCGCATTAGTGCCAAGCTTCTGCCAGTTGAACTGTTGGCTGATTTCCTCTTGCTCGGTGGCCATCACCACGGTGGCCATTTTCTGCGCCACGGGAATGGCGAGAAATTCCGCTTCTTCCGACACACCAACGTGATCGTGGAAGGCGCTTGATCCGTTCGAAGACGCTTACGGCAAAAGATGGGAGAACACTGCCGCACAGAGACCTTCAGGGACTGGGGTGGGTTTTCGAGGGTCCCGAAGGGTCCAGAGTCATGCCCTTGTGACTGACGAGGTGCTTTTGGGTCTCCAAGCGGGTGTTGGATGGACACCAAGGTTGGATCCAAACAAGGTGTGCTGAGAGGACCGAAGATGGCCAAGCACCTCTTCAGCTAGCTGCAGCTACTCAGACCTCGACCTGTGTCACAACACCTTTGGGCCCCAAAAGGTGCTGAGAAACGGCCAGGGATGGTGCTATTGGGGGGACTCCATGTATAGATTCCAGGTCCAGACTTGGGACTCCACAACCCGTGGGGAGGAAGCTTTGGTAGCTGTCTATAGCATGAAAGCACCCATCCTGGAGGATCCAGCACCCAGGCGCAGAACACTGTAACCACATGGTTACATGGATGGCCTGGTCCCGAGTTCGGAAGACCATGAAATCCACATACCAAACAGGTGGTGAACTCCACTTCCATGTTAATTCCAAGGAGAGTACATATAATTGCATACCTGCACCTTCCAACAGGTCTCCGAAATGGAGGGTTGGGAAGGGCCCTGTCACAGGTTTCCATTGGCGACCTGTGAAGTCGGTGCTGGTATATAATTATACATATACCCCCCACAAGTCAATGACCTTTGTTACCAAAACACCACTCGGTCGGAGGTTTGAAGGACCATGGCTTGGAAAAACGGGTCGGACTGGAACCATCTTGTCCATGCATGGACAGCCTGAGTCGCCAGGTCGGAGCCGTTGGGGGGCCTGGGTCGGTGGGATGGATGAACAGAATCGCACCTAAACCCAGGGCATCCAGGCAAACCACTATAGCTGGGAGTCCCAGTGGTTCCAAAGACAAACACCATAGACCGAACGAATCCCTGGTTCCTGAAAAAAAGTGGTAACTGGGATGCACTGGGAAATTGGGGGACGGAGTCTGGACATTTGCAACGACTTCCTGAAGGACACTTGGTCTTTTGTCAGCGGTGTGAAACACCCTGGTTTTGCAGTGGCATCAGGTTGTTTTGCAGTGTCATCATGCAAGCGGAATGGGTGGTGGAACCACCATGAACCACCCTAGCTTCCAATCTGAGGAATGGGTGTAACGTTCTGAATGTTCTCCTATAGCATCATTGTTCGCATTTTCCCAACTCCCTACCACTGAAAAGTACTAAACCATACTAAACCAGTATGCACGACAGTGCCTTCTCGAGTTCAGTACTTGTTGCTACTCCTTGATCTCCTTATCTCATCCATTGAGCTCCCAATCATCCCTGGCTTCGCAGCGGCCTTCTCGAGGCGCCCTGCCAAGATGGCCACAGGCCGGGCCGACACTGAAACCACGATATTCCCAACTCGTCAAGCTGAAACACTCGCCAAGCATCGCCAAGCTGCTACTCACATCTCGACGCAGAGCGGTCTTCAGGTCTTCATATCGGTTGGTCTGGCGCCAGGCGCCATATAGGCACCGCACATCACACGTCTTGCACCTCGAAAAAGAGCGCAAACCAATCATACAATATCACATGATGTACAGTCCCGTTCGGACTCCTGGCCCATCTCCGACCCAGTGACCGGTGGTATTCGACCTCCCACACCCGCCCCGACCCGCCCCCGCTCGAACCGAAACGGAGGGCCGCCCGAGGGAGTAGACATGATTGAAGGGCTTCGCCCATCTGCAGTTCCACTGGGAGTCGGTGAGTGTCTGATTCTTCGCCGCCGAAACCAGGCGACAGCACACCGGTCCGAGAGAAGGGCTATGTGCCACCGCAGGGGGGCTTAGAACCTGCCAGAATGGCTGAGGATAGCTGAAGGGTAAGTACTAGGACTGGGAGTTATTCCCCCCAAATGGCCTGAATGGATCCCGAAGCATATTTAACTGTTTCAAAACTGTTTCAATCAAGACTTAGCATTTAAAACGAAGGGATGTTCGTGATGAAAGGTGTGGGGGCTGCGAGCTCAAACACTCACTTCCGCTGGATGTGAGGACATGCCGCATACGAGGTCCCCCGGCCATGCCGCGTGTCCAGCATGTTCCGACCTTCCGACCTGCAAGGCACGCGGTGCCCTTGCCCAAAGGCGAGCGCTACGACCCCTCCCAGGACGGAGGTTCCGAGCGTCCCACGGCCCGGAACGCTGATGCAGAGGGAGACGGCGGAGATGGATGCGAGTGGGAACTCGTGGGAAGCCCGGAAGCCTCAAACTACTGGGTTTTGAGGGGGGCCTTGCTAAGGAGGGTCCGACCCCTGCCATGGAGGGCCAAAGGATTCTTGGGGTAGATAGGACCAATGGATGGACATCCACTTGTATGATTTCAAGTGTAACCTGAGAAACCTTTCACCCCACTCAAAACGAACAGGTGTTGAACCTTCATATTCTCCCTAGGGCTCCTGGCCCACATCCTCAGGTTCGCACCCCTGGCCCATCTTCTCAGGTGGGCCAGGAGCCCTATAAGGAAATGGTTCGGGACCAGTTCAGGAGTCAGTCAACCGTCGCTGGGCTTCTTCCACTCGTCGCCACGTCGGCGTTGTTCAGCGCGGCCTCGGAGCATCTCGGTGCCGTGGAAGCACGGTCATTGACACCCCCGTTCATGAAAAGAACTCCAATTGGACTGGATTGGGCAACCTATATGTTCAGATTTCATTTGTTTTTTAAATAAAGAGTCCTTCATGTAAATGAAGCATCCAGCTCATCCAGCTTCATGGTCTTGCAGGACAACGTCACAGAACTATAATTAACTTGGGATTTCCTTGGCGCTTTTTACAGCTGCTCTCATTCATGTTCAGTTGACCCAAGCTGACCAGCGGCAGATCGGTGAGTCAGCTGACCCAGAACTCGATCCAAGACTTTGGAGTCCAGGACAACTCCAACTACCTTCAGCAGCTTCAGCAGAGCTTTGGCAAAGAGAGTATCGCTTCCAGCTTCCACTTGTTCTTCACGTAGCGTGTGGCGGGAGACCCTTTGTGGAAACATAATTAATAATACTGGTACATTACACAACCAGATGTAGAACAATGGTACAATGGTGTTAGAGTAGCATTTCTTCACTTAGCTTACACATGCTTACACCAATCAACGCCTCCTTTTCACCAACAGAGCTGGCCACGGGATGAGCTGTTGAGCATGTTGAGCCATGCCTTGTTGGGCCAGCGCGATTCTTTGCGGTCGTTGAAGATTAGCCATTCCGTGTGGGGAATTGGACAAGCTGGGAGTTTGGACTCATAATGACCATTTTTCCTACGGATGACGTTTGCAGTGGATCATAATGAATCAAAGTCAGTTCAGCCAGGGAAAGAGAAGCCGCTTAGCTCAGCCTGTTTTTCGGCCGGTTTTAGCTTTGCTGGCAACTGAGGATGCAGCAGTCCTCACGAGATCAGCAGTCGTCCAAAGATTCATCCAATGTGAGACTTGGACGGCAAAGAATCGTGGCTATATGGGCCGGTTTTATGATTTTATGCAGTGTTGAGAAAGAGCATCCATGGGACTGGAGAATGTGCCGACCTCCCGAACCACCTCTGGCCTGTGGCCATTTCTCATGGAGTGGGACTGCTGTTTGTTTTGTTTTTGTATATATTGTTTTTTTTCCTGTGAGCGATCTTGTTCAGAACCGATTCTTGGATCCACCAGAAGCTTCCATGTCAAACCGATCTGGTCTCATTAGACCTAATCCAAGACAGTCTGGTCTGGATTCATTAGATCGTTTGATTCTCTGGGGTTTTTGAGAACTCCAGAGCCAAGAAGGGTGGCTCTTTTGGAGTGAGCAGGATGCGATCGACTCAGGGAGATGCACAGCAGACGTTCTTCGCTGTCTTCTCATTCCCAAAGCAAATGTCTGGCATATTTAAATGGTACATTCGGGTAGTTTCAGGGGTCAATGAATCAAGGCAAAAGTTCCCATACATAAATGGTCTGGGAG